TTGGATCTCTAATTCGTTTGCGCTTTGAGGGCTTTGGAATAGAAATTTTTTTTTTGGGACGGGAAATGGGAGTCTGCATACTTTCCATTCGTTCATTATCTAGAGCCCTGCCCAAATCTGAAGAATGATTAACATCCGTAATATTCTCTTGATCATTGTCATTCTCATTTTGTTCTGTTTCCGAATGATTGAGATCCATTTCTTCAAATAAATCTGGAGAGGAGACCACCCGCTGAGCTTCAATTTCTTCATACTCCAAAGCAGCTTCGATGAGTCTGTCAACAACTTCTGGATTGGCTGATGCCGAATCACTATTTCGCAAAGCCAAAGCTATGACAGAATCTGCTTCCTCTACTGGTACTAATTCCCCTGAAAATAATGAGGCTTTTTAAATTAATACTTTTATTGGTGAATTAAAAAAATTTTTCAATTTCAAATTTAAGTTCAAAATGTTTACCTGATGGCATTAGAGAAAACACGGAAGGCTGAGGAGACTCCTTTGGAATTTGTGTAACCTCCTTGTGGGACGCTTTCTGCACCAGTGAACCACCGCCTAATTGAAAATAAATGTACATGACAGTTACCCATCATTAGTCCAACTTTTAAATGAATAAAATGCCTATTTCAAGAAATACTGAGAACCTTATTAAGATAATTTAAAATAAACAACAACAAATAAAGAAAGAAAATAAAATTGCCATTGCATGGCAGTGACAAAGTTTTGTTACCTGAGTGGGGTGATCCAGGTAGTGAAATGACCCAACTACTTGTAAAAGCTGTCCCCATTCTTGGTTCACTACTTGTGCCCTTGTTGAGAACTCCAGTCTGACCATCACCTGAAGATGCAAAAGAAATAATCAAATTAGTCCCCTTAAATTGAATTAGATTTCAACACTATTTAAAACTAAAAACTGGGTAAATGTTTTGTAGCATTTAGGTCTCAAGCTTTAAAAAAACAGAGCAAAAAGTTGTTGCATTGTGTCATTAGTAATGTAACAGGAAAAGTGGATCCAAAATCATTATGCACAAGCAAGTGAGATCAAACCAGATTCATAGTTTGATAGAATTAGCTTGAATGAGACTTTACAATTAAATGGTGGAAAATAACAGTTTCAAGAAATATATGTCCTGACTTAAAACAGTTAAAATAATAAAGTATTTTCTTTTCTTAAGCTGGCAGTTGCTAGTTTGCATAAGAAAATAACTCAGTTGCTTCAAACTGAAGAAATCTTGTGGCTAACAACACAAAAAAAAGGGGCAAGCAGTCCTCAGTTACCGTTCAGAGATGCAGCGGAATGCTGAGGAGATGCAGTGGCTTGAGTGGCTCGTAAAAACCCTTTTTGGGAGTTCCATCACGTAATGAACCATCACCTACAGAAAAGAAACAAAACAGGGGGGAGGGACAGTCTCTTACACCTACTAAATTTATTTGTACACACATCAATTTAATAATTATTTATAACTCTAAATATAGAAGCTACTTTATCATTATCAGCTGCCACAATCACAAAAAATAACAGTGGAAAAACTGAAATAGGAATGCTTCTGACAGTGCAAATTTTAATATACCTGAAGGTGGTGCAGCAGAAGGGGAAAAAGACCCAACCACTTGGGAAAGATGTTCGCCTGGATTGGTGATCATTCCTGCATTTGTTTGGTGTTGAAGTCTGAGCAGCGGCTGAGTCATTCCTGCCCCTTTGGGGGTCGAAGAGAGACCAGATACTGTGGACTCACTGCCATTCTTGTTGGATGCCGAAGTCTGATCACAGGCCGAGGACTCACTTGCACCCTTGCTGGCTTCCAAACAGTCAGCAGCACCTGAAATCAAAGCAGTGCATAGAACTTTCATGGGAGTTAAGTAAAGGTGCTCATCCCTCATAGCAATTTCATTCACTTACTGGAGCCGAGCAATTTGTTTCATAGTTTCAGGTCATGAATCTCAAGGAAATCAAGAGTGTTCCTCCAAACAAATGTACGAGAATCAATTATTTTCTTGTACTTTTGAGAGAGCCTTACCAACAAACAAAAAAACTGTCTGAAACCTGGCAAGTTTAAGGAGCACAGCAAGATTTACAGAAGCAAACAAACATAACTAAATTTATGTAAGTTGACCAATATGGCACATAGCTGCTTTGGCAGTGATCCTCTGAAACAAGCCAAATTTGAAGTCAACGGGGAAGCAGCGTTGTGCCATACTGTTGAACTTACAAAAATTATAGGCATGTTCCTTTGCTTCTGTAAATCTTGCTGCACTCCATAAACGTGACAGGTTACTGACAGCTCATTTTATTTGTTGGCAAGACTCTCTCAAGAGTACAGGAAAAAAATTGATTCTCATACCTTTCTTCAGAGGAACACTCATGATTTCCTTGATACTCATGACTTGAAACCATGAAAAAAAGTTACTCAGCTCCTAAGTGAGGTAAATTGCAAACCAGATACACAGTTAGATAGAATTAGCTTGAATCAGACTTTACAATTAAATGGTGGAAAATAACAGTTTCAAGAAATATATGTTCTGACTTGAAACAGATAAAATAATAAAGTATTTTCTTTTCTTAAGCTGGCAGTTGCTAGTTTGCATAAGAAAATAACTCAGTTGCTTCAAACTGAAGAAATCTTGTGGCTAACAACACAAAAAAAAGGGGCAAGCAGTCCTCAGTTACCGTTCAGAGATGCAGCGGAATGCTGAGGAGATGCAGTGGCTTGAGTGGCTCGTAAAACCTTGTTGGGAGTTCCATCACGTAATGAACCATCACCTACAGAAAAGAAACAAAACAGGGGGTAGGGACAGTCTCTTACACCTACTAAATTCATTTCTACACACATCAATTTAATAATTATTTATAACTCTAAATATAGAAGCTACTTTATCATTATCAGCTGCCACAATCACAAAAAATAACAGTGGAAAAACTGAAATAGGAATGCTTCTGACAGTGCAAAGTTTTAAGATACCTGAAGGTGGTGCAGCAGAAGGAGAAACGACCCAACCACTTGGGAAAGATGTTCGCCTGGATTGATGATCATTCCTGCATTTGTTTGGTGTTGAAGTCTGAGCAGCGGCTGAGTCATTCCTGTCCTTGGGTGTCGAAGAGAGACCAGATACTGTGGGCTCACTGCCATTCTTGTTGGATGCCGAAGTCTGATCACAGGCCGAGGACTCACTTGCACCCTTGCTGGCTTCCAAACAGTCAGAAGCACCTGAAATCAATAGCAGTGCATAGAACTTTCATGGGAGTTAAGTAAAGGTGCTCTTACAATGAACTCATGAAACTTCTCGCTAATTTGTATAATCTTGTAAGTGTTCCATTGGTGAGACCTGGTTGGCCAAACGGTTGCTTCTTGTGGACAAAATGTGATGCAGTCTTGTAGAGAACAATATCGCACATGCCCTAATAGTAGTTTTTTTCTTTTTATTGCCACACTCATGATTATATAGCAAAAGTGAAATTTTTGAATTCAATACTTTGAAAAAGGCAATTTTATTTTTGCTACATAATCATGAGTATGGTAATAAGAAGACTAAAACTAGTATTAGGGCATATCCGATATTGTTCTTGACAAGACTGTTTCACATTTTAACCACAGAGATCAACCGTTTGGCCAACCAGGTCTCACCAATGGAACACTTACAAGATTATACTAATTAAGCGAGAAGTGGAAAGCCGGTGAGCAATGAGTTTCATAAGTTCATTGTAGGAGTTGGCAGTTGCTAGTTTGCATAAGAAAATAACTCAGTTGCTTCAAACTGAAGAAATCTTGTGGCTAACAACACAAAAAAAGGGGCAAGCAGTCCTCAGTTACCGTTCAGAGATGCAGCGGAATGCTGAGGAGATGCAGTGGCTTGAGTGGCTCGTAAAACCTTGTTTGGGGGTTCCATCACGTAAAGAACCATCACCTACAGGAAAAAAACAAAACAGGGGATAGGGACAGTCTCTTACATCTACTAAATTCATTTCTACACTCATCTTTCTACACAGTATATTTAAATTTTATAATTATTTAATGGTTTTATTTCAGACACATCCTGTAGCAGACTAATTGAAAACAAGTAAGGTCTTTGAATGTACTGTGGTGAGATAAAATTTTTCAAGACCCCGTTCTAATAATAGAAGCTAGAAACCTATTTGGGAATTACTTACTTGAAGTGTCCAAATCAAGTTTTCTTTTGACTGTCAAAAGACTGGCTTGTTTTCTCTTGTTATCCTTAGCAGTGGCGTTGTTAAAGAGTCCGTCAAACCATGTAGGGTCTGAAACATGGAACAACACTGTTCGTGCATTGAAACAAAACCGAGTTTTTAAATGCAGAAAGAAAAGCAATATCTATTGGTAGTTAATAATACAGAATTCGTCAAAACAAAACAGAAAATACGGTGCAAATAACGACAAGAGGTTCATAGGTTATAACGTACTTTCGGCACCAGTCCTTAGAGGAGACTCCGGCACGGCATTCTCATTCACAGCGGCTGCGGCGTTCATTAACTTTGACGAACGACTGCTAACACCTTTTGGCCTTTTCTGCATAGTATTTTTCCCCGAGGGACCGCCTTTCCCCCGGCCGGCCATCGTTGCGAGGACCTGCAGAACTCCGAGAACTCTGGCGCAGTCTCAGTCTCGGAAGTGACCCCCACCAGTCCACCAAGCCGCCTTTCAGTTAGCCGTCTGTTCCGCGGAGCGACTGACACGCTTTGAGGTTATGTTCGGATTTCAACAGATCATATCTTTTTGGGTGAATTAGCATTGTATATACAAACTAGGCAGATTTGAAAAATCGGCGGCTGCGCCGCCGGTCATATTTTACATAGTGTATGTATATAAAGTATGGTTTGTTATGAAAGGGGTCCAGAATTTTTTAAAAAGGGTATTTTTTTAAATGTATGTGTGTTATGTGATGTTGGCAGGTTTGTGAGTGTGTTGGGGTGAAGGATGAGAATGTTCTGGTAATGCATCTGATGTGGCGGGAAATTTGTATTATGGTGGTAGATAGTGAAACATAATTACTGACAAAAAGTTTATTGATATATCAATCTTAAACTAATAACAAAAATCAAATTGAAAAGCTATCACATATTTAAGTTATTGTAGAAGTCCATCACCAAGAATACTGTATATGGAATGAATAATGCAATTCTCTTATTTGAAAACATAGGGTTCAGTCGCAATTCAAGTGAGGTACATAATATCACATGGAATTGTTTTCAAATAAGAGAATTGTATTATTCAATCAATAATTGCATTGTTGGACGTCCAGTGCTTGTTTGAATGTGGCAACTTTCTTATTTGAAAATGTTACTAACAGAGAATGTAATAATAATTAAATATTTCTAAAAACGTGATTACATATTAAAAACTGTGTGATATAGCAATCTTAAAGTAATAAAAAAAATCAGACTGAAAAATTATCACTAGAAGTCCATCATAAACAATACTGTATATGGAATGTACAATGCAACTCTCTTATTTGAAAACATAGGGTTCAGTCGCAATTCAAGTGAGGTACATAATATCACATGGAATCATTTTCAAATAAGAGAGTTGTATTATTCATTCAAATATTGCATTGGTGGACTTCCAGTGCTTGTCTGAATGTGGCAACTTTCTTAATTGAAAATGTTATTAACAGAGAATGTGATATTAACTAAATACTTATAAAAACATGATTACTTACTAAAATTTGTATGATGTAGGAATTTTAAAGTAGTATGATAAATGAGATTGAAAACTTATCACATTTGTAACTTACTCTAGAAGTCTATCACAAACAACACTATATAAGGAATGAAGAATGCAACAGTCTTATTTGAAAATTTAGGGTTCAGTCGCAATTCACGTGAGGTACATAATATCACATGGAATCATTTTCAAATAAGAGAGTTGTATTAATCATTCAAATATTGCATTGGTAGACTTCCAGTGCTTGTCTGAATGTGGCAACTTTCTTAATTGAAAATGTTACTAACAGAGAACTAAATACTTCTAAAAACATGATTACTTACTAAAATTTGTATAATGTAGGAATCCTTAAGTACTAAGAAAAATGAGATTGGAAACTTATCACATTTGTAACTTATTCGAGAAGTCTATCACAAACAGTACTGTATATGGAATGAACAATGCAATTCTCTAATTTGAAAACTATAAAAGTTCATTCGCAATTCAAGTGAGGTACATAATATCACATGGAATTGTTTTCAAATAAGAGAGTTGCATTGTTCATTCAAATACTGCATTGGTAGACTTCCAGTGCTGGTTTGAATGTGACAACTTTCTTATTTGAAAATATTACTTACAAAAGAATTACTCTTGACGCATTTGTTTTGTTGGCGTGTTTGGAGGGGTCTCTTCTTGAGTGCGTTTGGTGGGTGTTGTCTGGGATCTTGCCATAATATTTTTCACAGTCTCAAGTTTAGTAAGGTCAGGTTCTGTAATGGAACAGAAAAATTAGTTCAGTTTTCAACGAATTGCTAATATATCAATTTTATCAAGAGCAAACGTTACCTTGTGTGTGGCGAAGAAGTTCATATTCAAATCCTTTTGTAGGTCTGCCGTAAACAACCAATTTAGGTCCCATCTTGTTCTCTATCAATTTGTTCATTGTGGTGAACCATTTTTCAGACTTGTTGTTATGCTTTTTAGGCAAGATGGTTTGAAACTTTAGTCCGTTTTCCAGATATTGAACTACGGTGTTCATTGGATATTCATTTCCGTCTTTGAATTTACTCTGCTGAGGGAAGAGACGGAGTAGTGAATACGCCACTCCCAGGTCTAACGTATCAAGGCCTCTTGGTCTTGCATAGGATAGGTCTATTTCACTGTCCTCTTGGAACGGGTCATAATTGTCGTTGACCGACATCTGAAACAGAAGCAGAAAGAAACAATGTAGTTGTGTGAGCAACAGCGAGAGTGTTGATCGAGTTAAGGTTGACATGTGGTTGGATTTGTGGAAGCAGATTAAACAGAACATATAATAAGCATCGAACGCCAATCCATGCGTGTCGATGCATAATGCGAACGTGCCGGTCGCATCGTGTTAAAAATAGATACTCTATTTATAATAACACAAATGTCGGAATTTGTGTATCATTTCAACATGTGACTATATGGCGAACCGATGAGGTTATGTAACCACTTGGCATAGCGATAGTCAAGGTATGAGGCTTAAATGGTAACAGTGGTTGAATATTTTGATAAATCCATAATAATGCATACCTTTGGTTACGGGAATGACGGATGGATTGAGATGAAACTGATGAAACACTGCAATTCTAACGTATCCAACGCTGAGTGTTAATAGGCGGTTGTTGTGGTGTGGTACAGCAATACTGAATGCGGAAGCGGAAGCGGAGACAGTGGTCGCCGGGTGTCGCGTGAGGAGGGTGTGCTCCAGTGTGTTCGTGGTGCGGTCGTCGAGCGGTCGGATAAATCGGAGGAGTCGTTGGGTTGGTAGAAGGCCGTGGGTAGGTCCGTTCTTCTAGTCCTTTAGGTTTTCTATTACGGTTGGCGGTCCTTTTGAATGATCGTTTTGATGATGTACGCTATTGGAGATGATTTAACCAGTTCTGCCTCTTCTTTATAGCCAAGCTCTTGTTTAAGTTTTGTATTCTTGAGAATGGAAATGGTTTAAGTAACAAACCTTCCAAAGTCTTTGCTCTGGAAAATGCTACATATGTCAGTCCAGGTTTCATTTCTTTTGGTCCCAAATCAACACAAGCCTTGCTAACAGTGAGTCCTTGAGATTTATAAATTGTGCAGGCATAATTGAGATTAATGGGGAACTGAGTTATGGAGATTGAATCATTGTCATCTTTTGTAAGGGTTATTTTTTCTGTCACAATAGGGATGGTTTTCTTCATTGGGTCTAGACATGGACCATTGTATGATTCAAAGGTGCATATGAGAACACTTGGAGGATCTTCGTGTGGTGTGGAGTTCGGGTCATAAATAATGTCCACTATCTCTCCAATTGAACCATTGACAAGACCCATTTCTGTCCACACATTTTTTCTTAGCATTATTTGTGCACCTTTGCACAAATAAAGGTCGTGATCTTCATTATCTTGTATGTTGCCATTATTTTTTACTGCTGCTGGGATTTTTGCTACTGGTACAGAGAATCCAGTTTGTGAATCTTTCATGTTCAAGAGCTTATCTTCGTTATAGGTGTCCTTTTCAGCATTTGTTGAAAAAAAATGTGGGGCATCCTTAAAGGTTGCAAATTCTTCTTTGGAATTGGCATAGACACAATCTTCAAACCGTGTTTGTAACATTTGATAATCTTCTATCGTAACATTTCCTGATGCAATATTATTCAAAATAGTTTGGAAAGCTCTGTCTCTTTGCCTGTGTATGTTGTTCAAAATGAAGACTTTATGAATGCTGTCATACAATGCCTTGCCTCCAATTCTTTCCATACTGCTTTGATTATCTGAATAAGGAGCACTGTCCATAACAGGAGGTAATTGGTTTATGTCACCAAACATAAATACAAACAGGCCACCAAATGGTTCAGAAGGGTTGTCTTTTCCTTGCCTTAATCTTTGGTCAATGATCCACAACATCTCGCAACCCACCATGCTAAATTCATCAATTATGATAAATTTTACATCTTTCATCTCTTGTTGGAATTTAAACAAGCGGTCACCATTCAGATTAGCATATTCTTCACTTAAATTGAATTTAAGTTTGCTGTGTAAAGTAGACCCATTTATATTCAGGGCACAAACACCAGTTGGTCCCACCAGAAGACAAGACCCTTCTCCAAAAGTTGATGAAATTAAATTGGCAATTCTGGCTATCACTAAGCTTTTCCCTGTGCCTGGAAATGAAAAATAATTGTGAAAAAGTCATTTTAAAAATTATCATTCATGAAACAGGTGTACAAAAACATTATCATTATTAATGTAATTATGTCTCACCTGCTTTTCCTTGGATGAGAACTGTTTGTGGTATGTTCATATTTGTGGCATATGTGGGGTCTAGCAGAGTGTTAATCTGCTGTTGTGCTACATTCAGAATGCTTTGTTGGTCATCAGTCAAGGTTATAGCAGTGTCATGCATATTTGTGGCGGTTGGAGGTTTGTATTCTTTTTTCATCCGAGTCATGAACGTCAAAAGTGCAGGTATGCCTCCATATTCTTCATATGATTCTGCACTTTGGTGCCAGTTGTAGTTCCTGTCTATTTCTCTGTTTCCCAAACTTGACTGTTGAATGTCTTGAGCAGGTCCCATCTGAGATATTAACTGCCATTGTTCTGGGCGAGAATGGTTGTTAATTTCATGAGTTTCAAATTCATCGTCTTCTGGTTGTATTTGCTCGAACAGGTTGGTCTGTTCAGCATTAAGGTTTATTATCTGTATATATTTGTTGTATATTTCTTCCCATGAAGTTGTATCATCATTTTTTAAATCTTTTTCTTCACGCCATGGCACATAAAGGAGAACTTGCTGCCTAAAATATTTTTCTTTTACTGTGGGGTTGGTTGTAGTGGCTGAATATTTGGGAAAAATTTGAAGTATTGCACTGTTCTGTCGTCTTGTCTCGTTTGGCAGTTTGTAATTTTTGGCAACATTCCAGAGACATTTTGCATCAAGAGCTTCACTTCTTGCCTGGTATTTCTCCATGAAACTTGATGCATCATTGTTATTGCGTAACAGTCTCCATTCCTCATTATCACTGAATCCAATTGTGACAAAATCTCTTTTCCCACTTGAGTATAGTTTCAATCCCATCAGGAGGTGACAGGTTTCTTGTGCCGAAAAATCTCGTTCAGAGCATGCTTTTATGTAAAGCGATTGAACAGCACTCTTTGCATTTTTGTTTCTGTCACTTGCTGAGTTAATTATTTGCATCAGTTCTTTAAGATGATCTGATCTGTACTCTGATTTACTTATGTATTTGGCCAAATAATTGATCAAAGCCTGTTTGCTAATTACAGGTGCAACATCAGTGTTGGCGCGCCATGTTTGAGCAATGTATGGATTGTATTTATTCAAACGAGTATCGTTTCTTCTGGGAATAAACTCAGCATTGCCTGTTTCGCTTAGTCCAATTTTGGCTTCATTTTGTTCTTCTTGTGGAAATTTGAAACGACATTTTTTCTTATGTGTTTTTTTGCATTTTCTAATGCAGTATTGTTCTGAACATATGGTGTGCCTTTGCACTTTGTTCAAAAGTTCTGCTAGATCTTGATCGAGGTCTTGTACTTCTGATAGCAGTTTTCTGCAGGGATGGATGTTTCCTGGTGGTTGGTCTTGATTGGGATGGAAAGCTGTCACAAGGTCATTGAAATACTGTATTATTTCTTGTTGCTCCTCTTCAGTTTTTTGCAATATGTTGGTGACATCTGGAGCATTTTCGATCCAAAATATGCCATGGATATGTGGGCTTCCTCTAGAATCACAAAAATAGTTGTATTGAATTAAAATGTATAAGGCAGGGATGTAATGTGGTGAATGGTTATTTTATAGTACCTGTGTTGGTATTCGACCCTGTACCAAAAATCTTTTACGTTAAATTTTTTTACTAACACCTGTGGAGATGTGGTAAAAACAAACAATTCATTAGCAATAAATTAGGATTTTGTATGGCAGCTGACAATTTTGTTGTACTTACGTCATTTATAAAAGTTTCAGCTCTTTTTAGAAAATAAGAATCCACTGCCAAAGGATTTGCTTTTACTAATTGGCGTCTTCTATAGTCACTCATTGTGTTGAAGTCCTCATCAGGTGCAAGCATTCTGAAAAGATCTGGCCAGTGCAGGTCTGCTGCACTAAGTGTGAAAAACAATGTTGGAAGTCCCAACTGTTCAACCATGGATAATAGTTCCTTGCCTCTGGCAAACCAATAAGAGTTTGTCCCAGAAATGCTTGAGTTCCTGTACATGATTTTTTTTATCATTGCAGGATTTTTTTCTAATTCTTCTTTTAGTTGTGTCAGAGTCATGTTCTGCAATTGAGGCTGCGTCTTTATGAACAAATTACCATTCTTCAATGCAGACCAACGCATGTAGGTATTGAGAGCAAAGTAGCGGAAACGGTTGTGTTGTGCAAACCTGTCATCACAATATCTCATCAAATGTTTGAAGTAGTTCAAGGCACTGATGGATTGGTTTTTTCCAAATTTTAAACGACCCCTGCCGGTTGGGAATAGGCATGGGAATGCCTGCACTATGTAGGAGTCATGCTCAAATTCATTAATTGGTTTGTCACTTATGCTCGGCCATGACAGTAACGAATTTATTTGATCTGCGCTTGCAGCTTTCACCATTATTGGGCTTCCAGATTCATAAATTTCATCTTCCTGTTCGATATTCTCTTCTGGTGGGATAGTATTTGGCAATGATGCATGTGCAGGTTCTTCATCTGTGTTAAATTCAATTCCTTGAACTAAATCGAATACATTTCCATCATCAGGTAATAAGGCCAAGTTGGTGTCAGATATCTCAATGTCTTTATAATAAAAATTGTTGTCCTTCAACCAAAGTAACGCGTTTCTGACCACCTTAGCTCTTACTTGAAAATCCACAGGTTTGAGGCCTTTTGATGCTCTTATTGTAAGCACACACGACAAATCAGTGACTTTGTGTGGGAGTTTTTCTGCAAACGTTTTGACATCTTGAGGGTAATTGATGATATTTCCTTTATAGCCAAGCTGATGCCCTTTGAGTTTGACAACAGAAACAATTGGATGTATTTTAGCGATGAGTTGTTCTTCTATATATGTTAGGCATTGCAGTTCTTCAGGTACTTTTTGATCTAGATCTAATTCTGCGAATTTGTTGCAAGTTGGTGCAGAATAAACACATTTCTGTTTACTATCTTTCTGGGTCATAAATTTAGCTTTACATTTGTTGCATGATCTCCATTCACATGATAACATGGCTTGTTCAAACTGTTTCTGGTATGCATCCAGATTATTTCCATTTACATCAACATCATGTTCATTATCTTGATACATTTCTGAAAAACATGATATAAAATTATAAATTACTTATATTTGGGTTATTTTGATCTATGTGTTCAGAATAACTAAACTAACCTGTGTGTAAATTTCTTCTACCTTGGACAGGGAAAAGGAGCATTTTCTCAGTTGTTAGAGGCAATGAATTAAAAATAGTAGGTATAGCATCAGGTTTGAGTCGTTTTTTCATCTTGTTGTGAAATTGTTGTTCCTCAAAGTGATCAGAGCACAGCCAGTGTCTCTTGTACAGATCATAAGATGGTATTTCTAATAATTTATCATTGCCTGTATTTTGGACCCATTGCCTGCATCTAAGAACACGAAGCAAAGAATAGATAAAGTCAGTGTGTGCGTCCAATTAATTTAACGCAATCACAAGGATTTGAACGATAACCTATATGCGTTACAAACATATACCTGGATAGATTTTCTTCTATGACTTGCTCATTTTTCATAATTGTAGGAAAACTAAAAAGAGAAACCCCTGAAGAATGGCATTCTTTTGCAGAACATTTCCTGTAGTCACGTTTCTGTAATAATAGTTACAATTTATTGCAAATAAATCTGATTAAATACAGAATAAAATATAAAAGAAGAACACAAACTCACTTTAACTGGTAATATATTTGTTTTAACAATGTCTGGTCGATCTGGTGATTGAATCAATTTGTGTGTAATCACATCTTGAGAACATGATGGATGATTATCAGAATAGCTGGTTCCATCAATCTGAATTGTATCTTCTGAAGTAGGACATAATGGAGAATTATCAGAATAGCTGGTTCCATCAAGTTGAGTTGTTTCTTCTGAAGTAGGAGATCCACAGAATATTTGTTCCATGCTGATGATGGTCACACTGTTGTTAAACTGTTGCATATAAGTGTGTGTTAGTAATGGAACTTAAACAAAAACTGTGTGTAGATTTGTCTCATATTTGTTACCTTCTGATGTGAATTTTTGTTGGTCATATCTTGTTGTACATTCAGTACATTATCATTGTCATTATCTTGATGCATATCTGAAAAAGTTAAGCAAAAATTTGAAGTCCCTTTCTGCTGATTTATTTTAATGTAAGTCATTCATGGAACTAAATTAACCTGTTTGTAAATTGTCTCTACCATGGTCACGAAAAAGGAGCATGTTTTCTCGTGTCAAAGGCAAGGACATAAAAACAGTAGGTATAGCATCAGGTTTCAGTCGTTTTTTCATCTTGTTAGAAAATTGATCATCTTCGAAATGATCAGAGCACAGCCAATGTCTATTGTGAAGATTAGAAGCTGGCATTTCCAGTAATTTAACATTGCCTGCATTTTGGACCCACTGCTTGCATCTGGAGGTATGAAACAAAACAAATAACAGGAACCTAACTTAAATGTTTAAACAGTGTCATTTCTGTGTTATGATTTATATATACCTGATAAAATTGTCATGTATGAATTGCTCATTCCTCATAATTGATGGAAAAGTAAATAGATGACGTCCTGCAGATTGGCAATCCTTTGCAGCGCATTTCCTGAAGTTCGGTTTCTGTTGATATAGTTACATGATTTTTTTAGTTCAGAAATCAAGCAGAATGATAGAAATGTTATAACAATAATAAAAACATACCTTATTTGGTAGACATGTAGCATTAACAGTTTGTAACGAATTTTGTGCATGAATGCAGTTGTTGCTATTGTTGTCGTGTAAAGAAACTGAGGATCCAACTGGATAGGTACTTTCATCCAATTCATTGTTATTCTGGAATAATTGCTACACATATGTATGCTTTATAGTTCACATGTCCAGCAAAAAGTTAAGAATTTTATATGAATAATAAAAACTTACTTGAACTGGTAGACATGAAGCATTAACAGTCTGTGATGAATTTTGTGCATGAATGCAGTCATTTGTAGCATTAAACGTCTGACATGAATTTCGTGCATGAATGCTGTCGTATCTATTATTGTCTTGAAAAGAATATGACGATCCAAATGGATAGGTAGTTGCATCCAAGTCATTGTCATTCTGGAATAATTGTTACATGAATGTATGCTTGTCTATCTTTTACCAAAATTTGTTTAATTTGTTAAATACAAAGTACTTACTTGGCATGGTAAAACAGTAACATTTATATTTTCAGTAGAGGTGTCATGAAATATGTTCTCGATAACAATGATTGAATCTATATTATCTATTTCATGTGCATTGCTTTGTTGAATGTCTTGTTCTTCTTTTGACTGCCATGGTACATAAAAAACCTCTTGAGGTTGTAATATCTCATTATGATTGCCATGAAGAACCTGAAAACTGTCCTAGAAACAAAAAATTTATATAGCCACCTAAAAATGAATGTCATTGACACGTAGTATTTCATTATGATTGGTAGCAAAAGCCTGAAAATTGTCGTAGAAACCAAAAATTTATTTAACCACCTAAATATTAATGTCATTGACAAATGTGGTGAATGAAAGAATAAAAAATACCTGACACGGTTGCAAATTGATCATGACACTTAACCTAACTTGTCAGGACCGGCTCCGGTCTTGAAACAGATCTGCTGCCAAAATATCGCGTCCAAACGTAACCAAAACTTTGTTCTTGTGCCACGTGTTAAGCAATTACATTAAAACAGGTGAATTTTTTTAAACTTCTAAATAGAAGTTTCCTATTGATTCATAATGAATTTAAGAAAAATTTGTGTTTCTACTCCGGTCTTGAAACAGATCTGCTGCCAACATACCGCGTCCAAACCTTACCAAAACTGTGTTCTTGTGTCACGTGTTGAGCAATTATATTAAAACAGGTGATTATTAAACTTGTAAATAGAATTTTCCTATTGATTCAAAATGATTTTAAGGAAGATTTGTGTTTCTAAGCAGCTCTTGTTTTTTCGCTGTTGTTGTGGCTCCCCCGGATGTGCACATCAGGAACAACAACCCAAAATATTGAATCAGAATCAAAAACTGTCATTAGCAGCAACTGTTTTCCAAAATAATTTAACCAGACAAATTTTAAACTATTTTTTTTTGTTTCTTTGTGTAAATATCAATGTTGTATCCGAATGTGTCCCCTCGCATATGTCCCCTATTTTAGTTTTGAAATAGTGGTCAGCCCGGAATTGTCGGGCTTGCTCGCTCGCTGGCTGACACAGGGTTCTTCGGCCGAGCCTAAATAGTTATACCGTATAACTAATAGATAGACATACTGCGGCTCAGCCAATTATTGATTCAAAAAGTCCTTATTTTAATCTATCCGAAAGTATAAAAATGTCATTTGAGTAAAAAAATCAAAAGCCGTTTTCTGCAGGGGGTAAAAAAGATCCGTTTGTCTGCAGGGTTCTAGAAGATAGCCGTTTTCTGCAGGGTTTGGAAGATAGCCGTTTGTCTGCAGTGCTCTAGGAGATAGCCGTTTGTCTGCAATGCTTTCGGAGATAGCCGCTTGTTCCGAGCAGGTGTCGACTTGACTTTCACTGTAAAAAATTCCGTGCTTTTGTACGGAAATGGTACGGAAGTACGGAGAAAAGTACGGAACGTCCGAACTTGCTCCATTTGAACCCATGGAATCGGGTACGGAATAAAAGTACGGGAGTTCCGAAGTTGGCAAGTTCGAACGGTCCAGGCAAATTATTGACCAGACATGTTCCGTACTTTGACGTACTTTTTTCTCACAGAGTTGGTGCTCCGATTAAAACTCCAATCGTAGCGGGAGTTTAAAGGCAACTGAAGATTTTGAACGGTTTTTGGCAAATTGTGTGGTACTCGACGGCATCGTGTTCTCCACAGTCGAATGCAGCACATTTCCACCAAATTTCGGTGCTGGTCCACTTCTCGAGTGGGGGGGGGGTTGGGGGGGGGGGGGGGGGGGGCACTAAAGGGGAGCGGTGGGTCGTGGCGTCTTGGCAGGGGGGGAGAGGGGGGAGGGGCAGCTGGCGATGCGTGCTTGCAGTGTCTCGTGACGAGAGCCAGCGCTGCGCACTTCATGAGTAGATGTCGAGGCTAAACTGTACGCCGCGCGCCTCAACCCGACCCCCGTGTTTTGAGCTCCAGAGTCGCTAAATGGGACTCGAACCGAGCGTGTGGCCCCACCAATGGATTCCTTGTTCGGAGAGCAATCCATTGGTGGAGTCAGAGCTCTCTCTCTCTCTCCCCTCTCTTTTCTCTCTCTCGTTTGGCGGCCCGAGTATACGCTACGCAGTATACGGTACGCAGCATGCCCGCCCCGTTTTTCCTCCGATCAGTCTGGACATCCGATCCGGTCGATGCAGTGACGCGGGCCGTGCGGCGCTAGAGCGTGTCGACCTGGTAACTGGAGCCCCCCCGCCCCGCGCACACTGGGCCAGAAGACCGGTGGAGGCGGCCAAAACTCTAGACGCGTTTTGAGCTCCAGGGTCGCTAAACAGGACTCGAACGGGACGTGTGACACCGCCAATGGATTACTTTCCGTACGAGGAATCCTTTGGTGGAGCCACACGCTGGGTTCGAGTCCTGTTTAGCGACTCTGGAGCTCAAAACGTGTCTAGAGTTTTGGCGACCTTCACCGGTCTTCTGGCCCACTGTGTGGAGACGACGCGCGACACTCGCGGAGACGTTCACTGCGCGTCCGTTGCCGTGACTCAGCGGACTGCCCGCGCCCGAGGGTGCAGCGGCAGCGAGGGCAGCCCGCGCGACGCGCCGTGCGTGAGGGTCGCCAAACGCCGCCGCACGTTGGGGCAGAAGGCCGGCGCAGGCAGCCAAAATTCTGGACGCGTTTTGAGCTGCAGAGTCGCTGAATTGGCCTCGAACCGAGCGTGTGACCCCACCAATGGATTGCTCTCCGAACGAGGAATCCGTTGGTGGGGTCACAGGCTCCGTTCGAGTCAGCGACTCTAGAGCTCGAAGAAAGCGTAGAATTTTGGCCGCTAGCGCTGGTCCTCTGGCACACAAAGCGCCGCTCGCACTCCTCACTCTGTCTCTCTCGCACTCCTACGTCGCTTTATGCTGCAGAGTCGCTGAATTGGTCTCAAACCGAACGTGTGACCGCACCAATGGATTCCTCGTTCGGAGAGCAATCCATTGGTGGAGTCACAAGCTCAGTTCGAGCCCTGGTTAGCGACTTTGGAGCTCAAAAGGCGTCTAGAATTTTTGCCGCCTCAACCGGCCTTTCTGGCCCACTGTGAGCCGCCCTGATTCCTCACCGGGGCACGGTGCGGTGAGGCACGCTCCGCGGCCTTCCGCTCGAGCTTTTGCCCTGTCGCATACTTCGCACAACTCTGGGGAGCAGCTCGGAGAGGTGCATCTGAGCTGAGCTGGCCTTGGCGAAGTGCAGGGTGAGGACTCCTTGCGGGCGTGACCGCGGCGCGGTCGCCTCGCGTTTCGCGAGTCGTTTTGCACCGTTTTTCGTGCTCTGCGCTTGTGGTGGCCGTGGGCGATTCTCTTTGCAGTGTAGACGACGCGACTTCGTCGCAGCCGTCCAGGGTCGCCCCTTGAGGGCCGTAAATTTGTTTACAGCTTTTAAGATTTCCTTAGTTTGAGCGCCGAACGCCCGGCCGGTTATTGGAGCCAGTAAACAGCGCGCCGGCCGGCCGGCCATTCGGAAACAACGCGTCCTTGTTCCGCGTCTCCACGTGCAGGGTCTTTTACTCGAGGGCCCGCCGGGCCGTGCTGCGCGTTGGCGTGGCGTGCCTTGTCGTGGGTTTGCGTGCCGTGTCGTGCCGTACGTTGGCGTGCCTTGCCATGGGTTTGCGTGCCATGTCGTGCCGCGCGTTGGCGTGCCGCGCCTTGCCGTGGGTTTGCGTGCCGTGCCTTGCCGTGAGTTTGCGTGCCGTGTCGTGCCGTACGTTGGCGTGCCTTGCCGTGAATTTGCGTGCCGCGCCTTGCCATGCCGCGCGTCGGCGTGCCCGTGCCGTGTTGTTCCGCCCGAGTCGTGCCGGTGCGTTGGCGTGCCGGTGTCGTGCCGTGTCACGCCGCGCGTTGGCGTGCCGTCGTGCCGTGCGTTGCCGCTAGTTGGCGTTGCCATGCCGTGCCGCGCATCGCCGTGTCGTGCCATGCGTAGCCGCGCCGCATAATGTGTTTTGTTTACGCGCCGAAAAGGTCCCCGTCCCGCCTCACGACGCAGTTTCTCTGGAATTCTGTTTACGACTTCGCGCTGGCCGCACGGCCCGCCGCGCCGCCTGCGGTCCAGATGTCGGCCTCTCGGGTCGCAATGGGGCGGCCGGAAGGGCGGGCTGGCCGTGTGCAGGCCGATCCGAGAGTCGCACTCGTCACCCCGTCTCTCTCGCACGCACGGGCGGTGCGAGAGAGGCACTGCGACGTGTGCGACTCTCGGACTCCGCTGGCCGGGGTGGGCGGGGGAGGGGGAGGGGCAGGCTCCAGGAAGGGCCGAAGGCCGAGAAAAACACCAGACGCGGCACTTGGCGTGTTTATGGGACCGGCAGGGGACGGGGCAAAAGTGAGTTGTTAGCAGCCGTCGTCGCTTCGCCCCCTCACCCCCTGCCCCTCGCGCCTACGCAGGCTCACACGGCCAGATTTTTGGTACAGTGTGTTTCTCAAAATGATTTCAGTCTCCTCCTTCAGACTGGCCCCACGGCCACAGCGCACCCCGGTGCTTCCCCCTGGAAGCTCTTCCACTCTGACTGCACATTTGAAACTGGGCGACACAGTTCCATGTGGTGGTTGCATCGGTGTAGGGAATTCTCCACGGTAAAAACATCCCAGGCGCCCTCTGCACTGAAAAGTCAAAGGTCAGAATTCATTCCAACCTGGGGGAAAGAAAAAAAGTCTCGCCAATTTTTGGCGAGAAACAAAAGTCTCGCCTTTTTTTTGGCGAGAAACTAAAGTCTCGCCATTTTTTGGCGAAAAACAAATGTCTCCCCAAAAATATGGCAATAATTGCAACCCACTCTATTTGATACTGGGAAATATATCCCAGTCAAGATCACTCCGGAAACACATCACTAACTACAGTCTTTCAATTACTCAAGTTGAAATAATACAGGAAGCTATCACTTTCAGTTATGAAAATATAATGAAAGTTTATTATGTGAATTTGGTTTGCGTCAGAAAAGCGTTGCCCAACTATTTACTTTTTTTGTCATCTTTTAAAAAGACATTGGTCCAGTGAGTCAGATCCTAAAAGGTCTCTTTCAGTGTCCTGTAGTTAAAGATAATGTCTTTAATAAGAGGCCTAAAAAAAGCGACATCCATGATGACACAAGTTCTTACTCACTCCTTTGACTTATTCCAATCCCCAGCTAACCTTGTTGCATTTGGGGCATTGTTGGAGGTTCCATGGACAGAACTCGGTTAATAAACTCGAGTTAAGAAAGTTCTGTGCACTATCTAGCACTCTCCGTTTCGCCGTCTCCACTGGACAAAATCCCAAAAGTACAGCAGCAGCACTTTAAATCCCCAAACACAGATATAATAAAAAAACATTTAGTGCACAGACAAGCAACACAGCAACAGGACTGCCATGTTGTGTCGTCTGCTACAGTAGCATTTGTTTTGCGGTAGTGCCAACCTATACTTTTTTTTCGTTACTTGTAAAATTACTTTGGAAGGCAGTGCAGGTTGGCACTACCGCAAAACAATGCTACTGTAGCAGACGACACAACGAGGACAACAAATGAATTTCAACATGGCAGTCCTGTTGCTGTGTTGCTTGTCTGTACACTAAAATGTTTTTTTTATTATATCTGTGTTGGGGATTAAAGTGCTGCTGCTGTGCTTTGGCATTTT